ATTTCTATATCTACAGTAACTCTGAGTCAGATGTATTGTTGTGTAAGTGCTTGTGGTTTCAGTTACATCAGAAATGTCTGTCCTTCAAATTGAAATTCAAGGATGCTGTAAGAGTTGTGAACACAATAAGAGTTTTATTCGCCACCAGGAAAGTTTTGAAGTTTAATTTGAAATGTTCAGCTTAATTTCTATAGGGATTTATTGTGTCAAAGCAGGTTAACACAGATGAAGCTTTAGTTTAAAGCACGCACGTTTTTGTTTATACGGTTAAAAGCAAAATTAATGTTCCCAACTTCCCAAGTGATGTTTCACAGAGCAAGGACATTTTTGCAGCACAGGCTCATTGCGATTACGTGCCCCGCATATTTATTTATTTATTTTTAATTTAATTATTTATACAGGGACCATCTACAACAGGGGTTCTCAACCTTTTTCCCCCTGTTTAGTTTTTCCCCCAATTTCTGTTTAATAGAGAGCAGATTTTTTTTCAACACATTTCTAAACATAATAGTTTTAATAACTCATCTCTAATCACTGATTTATTGTATCTTTGTCATGATGACAGTAAATAATATTAGACTAGATATTCTTCAAGACACTTCTATACAACTTAAAGTGACATTTAAAGGCTTAACTAGGTTAATCAGGTTAACTAGGCAGGTTAGGGTAATTAGGCAAGTTATTGTATAACGATGGTTTGTTCTGTAGACTATCGGAAATAAAAATAGCTTAAAGGGGCTAATAATTATGACATTAAAATGGTGTTTAAAAAATTAAGAACTGCTGTTATTCTAGCCAAAATAAAACAAATAAGACTTTCTCCAAAAGAAAAAATATTATCAGACATACTGTGAAAATTTCCTTACTCTGTTAAACATCATTTGGGGAATATTTAAAAAAAGAAATAATAAATAAATAAATAAAAATAAAAGGGGGGCTAATTATTCTGAACTCAACTTTATATATATATATATATATATATATATATATATATATATAAACAGTTCTGTCAGGTTCTGGAATCTGATTTGCTGATAGCAGTGTGATATTCTGCAATATCAGCCCTCATACAGCCTCTTCACCCGTGTGTATTACTCCGCCAACATAGAGTGCAAGCAGATCAGTAAACTCACTACAGTTTGATAAATATTGCTGCTGTTGGGCAACATAATGTACTTTTGAGGCTATTTTAGTCGAGAATGTAGTTGTTTAGATTGCAACTATGCAGTTTATTTATAAGGACAGTGCCTATTGTAATACAGTTACTTTCCTATCCTCACCACTGACCCCCCCACCCCACCCCCACCCACCCCCCCCTTAATGGCAAACACAACAGCAGTCTGATATTGATCGTGTTGCTTTTTTTGGGATTGATTACTGTGATATCCCGATTGCAACAGAGAAACACTATAGACTGTAACACTGTAACAAGATATCTCTGTAGACCGATGGCATTTCATGTCTTATAATCTTAAAATGTGAGCAAAATCAGCTGTTTTGTCTTCACTTTAGACATAAGTCTACAGAGAGTCATTCAAACACCAGCTCTAAAGTGACGTTGGTGAATTAGTAATGGCTTCTGCTGTTCTGACGTCAGCTGCAGATGTGAATGAATGGCGAAAGAAAGTAGTTCCTCATACAAAAGGGTTTTTAGACTCTTCGTGTTTGATTTTCTTTTTTATATACAAGATTGTGCCGTCGAACTGTTGTATAAATGCAATATTACACGAGTAGCAGGTGGGACACTAAGGCAATGCATGTCTCCCACCTGTGCCAGTATATAATATATAAATTAGGGATGCCCCGGTTCTCAATATAATACTGAACCATACGGTACGACCTCCACGGTTCAATACGCGCTTGTGAATTGCGGTTTTCTCGGTTTTGTGTTTAAATAATTTATGTGCGTTTTATATCTTCCCAAATTGACTGTGTGTGCCTCTAAATCCATGAGGAAACTCCTCCCTGTGAGTAAATATCCAATCACTATGCTCTAAAGTTAGGGGACGCTTGACCATCACTCCACACTTTAACATGGCGAGCGGCGGTGAAGTGAGGCAGAGGCAACAGTACGAGGAAGCGCCGGTGAAGTGAGGCAACAGTACGAGAAAGCACCGGCGTCTTTCAAATCTGCGGTGTGAGGACATTTCGGTTTTGGCGGTAAGCATAATGCCAATAAAAGAAAAAACAGTGAACAAAAAAATAACTGTGTGCAAGCATTGATTTACACGTATAACCATGACTGCACATCTGCAGCGCATCACCCAGCAATATCACTGTCTGAAGCAGGACAGCAGAGAAGGTAATAAAGTCCTCCAAATAGCAACAATCCCTCGCTGAATCTTTCCGGCAAACAAACCCAACTGGATCCGAGACACACATAAAATAAAAGGCAGTGCGGCTGTTTCCTGCTGGAGATTTGCAGCCGTTTTGGGTGATTGGAGATGTGGGCTTCTGTCATCTTATAAAAGCACTCGATCCGCATTACAGACTACAGTCTCACATTTTTCCAGAACCGAGATAATGAAGATGGTTTATTTATGTTTACTGAAGTACAAATATGTTTATTTGAAATGGCCGATTTATCTTTATTAACTTCACATGTGTGTTTATTTTCAAAGTGCAGGATTTCATGTGTTCCCCAGTTTGTACATGGGCTACCAGCAGCTGTGAGATTTCACTGTTCATTTTTATACAATACTCTAGGAACTACTGCACTTTTCTTGGCTTTTAAGTAAAACAAAATGAGTATTGCAATAAATAATTTTTATTTTTTCTCCTTAACCTCTTACTGTTCCTATTGCATATAGAATAAAAAAAAAAAAAACATGCGTGTCAAGTCACGAGAACCGAACCGAACCGAACAGAAAACCGTGTTAAAAAACCGAGGTATGTATTGAACCGTGGGCTAACTGTATTGTTGCATCCCTAATATATATATATATATGTAGCCAATTTAGTTAATCAATTCCCCTATAGCGCATGTGTTTGGACTGTGAGGGAAACCGGAGCACCCGGAGGAAACCCATGCCAACACAGGGAGAACATGCAAACTTCAGACAGAAACACCAACTGACTAGGCCGGGACTCGAAACAGCGACCTTCCTTCTGTGAGGCCACAGTGCTAACCACAGAGCCACTGTGTCCCCCCTGGACCCCAAATTTCACATCTTATTTTCTTCCTCAAAAGCCATTAGGTGCATTTTGAACAGAACTGTTGTGAATTGTTTTCTCATGAGTTGTTCTGTATTTCTACATGAATATCTCCTTCCTCCCACCTGAAAGTGTTGCGTATACGAGGCCTCCGAGTTTTCCAGACTCATTTTCATAATCTCTCTACGCAGCGGTGAAACTCATAAAGCGGCCTGACAGCTTCGGCGGCTCTGCGGTTTAATGGCGCAGGCCAAATGGTTTATTTGAGTAATAGGAAAAGGCAAAGCCATTAAATGAGCCGTATGTCCATACAGTTACTCACACACTTATTGAGGATCTCATCATGTGATTGGCAGAACATCCAGGTCATGCATCCAGTTGTGTTTAATCCAGCCAACAGTGACGTGCTCATATTAACCCTCATATGTCTGATTTAACATTCAGATTTCAGCAGTATATTAAGTGAAACAGAAAAAGGGGAAATAAATTATGACTGATCTAACCCAGGCCTGGATTGGCTAATCGAGAGAATTCTCAGTGGGCTGGTTTGTTTTTTGGCCACCTGGGCCGGTGTTCCTAGCTCCAGACTCTGTTGCTCCCAGCAGTCGCACTTTTTTTGTTTATTTATTTATTTGACCACAGCCTCAACTTTTTATTCATTATTTTTCCGCAGCTCCGCTCTTTTTATATATTTTCTCGCAGCCCTGTGAGCACAATGCAGCCTGCAGGTTAATGATTATGTAACTTAGATGATTCACTCCATTAAGAAAAGCCGTTGTGGTCCAGTTTACAGCACAATGCGTTACAACATTGTGCAACACCTGAAACTACAGATACTGGAAGCCTGTGCAGGCATTTCTCCTGCGGTGTTGCTATCAGTGTGTGCAGAGTGGGAGAAGAGGGTTGCATTGACAATCCAACACAATGGGCAGCACATTGAACACATTTTATAAGTGGTCAGAAACTTGTAAATAACTCATGAAAGAATAAAGTTACGTTAAAACCAAGCACACTATTGTCTTTCTGGTGAAATTCCCAATAAGTTTGATATGTCACATGACCCTCTTCCTATTGAAAAAACAAAAGTTGGATCCAAGATGGCCGACTTCAAAATGGCCACCATGGTCACCACCCATCTTGAAAAGTTTTCCCGCTCACATATACTAATGTGCCACAATGTGCTAATATCACCAACCATTCCCATTTTATTAAGGTGTGTCCATATAAATGTGTATCCCTATACTGTCACATTTTTGTTACATGTTAATAAAAATAAAGAAAGTGCTTCTATTTTATAATGTGTGTGTGTCTCTGTGCATCTGTGTGATCCGCAGGGGAAAGGAGTTTGGTCACGATGTGGACTTCATCATCAAAGCCCCTGAAGGACAAGAGGACAGGATTCTGCCTGCGGTCATTAAACGATTCAAAAGTCAGGTACAAAACACTGCTCAGTCCCGCGTAAGAGCCTTCACCTGCATTGTTTTCTTCTGATATTGAACTCAGTTTCTGAGTGCAGAAAATGAATGATCAAATTGTGCATTAGAAATGACAATCTAGTTTAAAAAAGCTAGATTCGTTGTTTCTTTGTTTTATTTCACATACAGTTGAAAGCAGAAGTCTACATACACTCTAAAAAAGGAGCATAACCATTTAAAAAAAATGTCTGAGGGTAAATCATACTAAACATTTACTATCTTAGGTCTGTTAGGATTTCCTAAACGATTTACATTTGCTCAATGCCAGAATAATGAGATTTTTTTTTAATTTCTAGACAGTCAAGTTTATACACATTTCCTTGGTATTTGTTTAGCTCTGCTTTTAAACTGTATAACTTTGGTCAAATGTTTTGGGTCTCCTTCCACAAGTTTCTCACAGTAATTTGAAGGAATTTTCGCCCATTCCTCCTGACAGAATTGCTGTAACTGAGTCAGATTTATAGGCTGTCTTGCTCGCACAAGCTTTTTTATCTCTGCCCACAAATTTTCTATAGGGTTGAGATCAGGGCTTTGTGATGGCCACTCCAAAATATTCACTCTGTTGTCCTTAAAGCACATTTGAACTAATTTGGCAGTATGCTGAGGGTCATGGTCTGTCTGGAAGACCCATTTGTGGCCGTTTTAATGTCCTGGCTGATGTCTTGAGATGCTGCTTCAGTATTTCTCCATAATGTTCTTTCTTCATGATGCCATCTATGCTGTGAACTGCACCAGTCCCTCCTGCAGCAAAACAGCCCCACAACATGATGCTGCCGCCCCCATACTGCACAGTTGGGATGGTGTTTCTAGGCTTGTGCGCTTTCCCCTTTGTCCTCCAAATGTAACACTGCTCATTATGGCCAAACAGTTCAATCTCAGCTCCATCAGAGCACAGGACATGTCTCCAAGCATTACTCTTTTCCCAGTGTCATTCAGCAGATTGTAATCTGGCTTTGTTGTTGATTCTGGCTTGCTGATTTTCCCTTGTTGTCACACAGAAGGAAGCAGTGTGTTTGAGCTTTTCCTTCAATACTATTCTACAGTTGTGCCTCACATTAACTCAAATGTTGTCAATTAGCCAATCAGAAACTTCCAAAACCCTGACATCATCATCTGAGCTTTTCCAGAGGCAGAATAATCTGATTGTGTGTAAACTTGACTTTCAGGAAAACTTATAACAATTTCTCAAAACACATCTCTCTCATTATTCTGCTATAAAGCAGAACAGAAACACATGTGATCATCCTGACTTACCTAAAAGAGAAAATGTTTACTTACATTAACATCTGGCTTTTTATAATGGTTATGTGTCTTTTTAGACGGTGTATAATTGTCTTTTTTTTGTGGAAAGCTCTTGTTGAAAGCCTTTGCATGGAGGTGGTGTGGGCGTGTATTCAGTCCAAACACATGCGCTATAGAGGAATTGATGAACTCAAGTGATTGTAGTGTATGAGTTTGTGTGTACAGTTAATGAGTGTGTATGGGTGTTTCCCAGTACTATGTTGCAGCTGGAAGGGCATCAGCTGCCTAAAACATATGCTGGAATAGTTGGCAGTTCATGCCGATGTAGTGACCTCTGCAATAGAGACTAAGCCGAAGGAAAATGAATGAATGAAAACACTGCATTTTGAACCAGACATGTCAATAGGAGAGTTAAACATGTCAGTGTAGAGCTGCACGATACTGGAAAAATCAAACGTTGCAATAAAGATTGCAATGTGAATTTCCATCAGATGCCTTGTATAACTCTATATGGAAAGTGTCCGGATTGATTGCAATAGGGGATTTAAGTGAAGTTTTTAAACTAATTTCGAGAGGAGCACGTGATATAATTGACTGCAGCTGGCCACCTATCTACACTCATTAGTTAGCCAATCAGATCTATCCTAACTCAATATAAGTAGCCTAGCTAGATATTACTCCCTTATCTTCGTTTTCCGAAGAAACCCCCCCATCCACCCCTTTCTCCGCCTTTTCTCCTTTACAAAAAAGGGGAGCTCTCGAGAACCACCTGATCTCATACTCCCCTCACTTACTCTATGGACCTGGCTGGAGCCCTGGGCTCAACTATCTCCGAGCTCAGGGTTCTCTCCCGGGACAGCATGCCAAACCTGCTTACAGTTGTCAAGCAATATATAAGTGTTGAATCATATATAAAAATAATAAACAAATCACAAGCAATGTATTCAACCCAGGCTCATTCTGAAAACGTATCGCTATATACATTTCTGGAGAGCACCAAATACATCTCAGGAGCTACAAATCCACCAGAGGGCACTGTGCACGCTTTTTCAGATGTCACATTTCTCTCGCTAGTGCCGTTCACGCCTGCTGTTTTCAAGGCCGCTGTCGACTGACTGACTGAATAACGTCCAGGTTATACTTGTTTTATTCTTGTCCAGGTTATTAGTGCTTTAGACAGTCTCCCAAAGTCTATTTATACAGACACACATAGAAGTTCCCATTTGAAGGGGAACCGCTGTTTAAACAAAGACAGGGACTTTGGAATGTTTAAAAGCCGTGAAAGATCAGCTTATCTGTCTTTGAAGCTGACATATGAGTAGTCCGCTGGTGAATTGACTGATCTTCACAGCTTTAAAATGCTCCAGTGTTCCTGTATCTGTCGACAGCTGTTAAAAGACCTTCGCTGAACAAAAAAAGAAAAAATGTAAAATAAAATTTCATCATCATCATCATTATTGTATAGATACTCAATTAAAAAGTGTCTTTATTTAAGTTACAACTGGTGCACTTTCTTGTGTCTGAATGCTTAGAAATGTAGCCTTGCAGACAGGTATCTTGTGATGGGGAGGAGTGCAGGATAAAAGGCAGTATTTCACGGTAACCCCTGACCCTCTTCTTGACATCAGCAGAGACTGACAGACACAGGAGTTTTTAAAAAAATCTTGGTCCACTTTTGTATCGTTTTTATACATTTTTGTGAAGTTGAAGACTTCATCTTCATCTAATAGTTTGTCGGCATGACACAGATCAACATTACTCGCATTACTGGGCAAACTCAGAGCACTTCTTATCTACTTTAGCTCTCTTTCCCACTGGTCCTTTACAACTGTTGTTTCACTTTTCACGTGGATCGGATCCAGGAATCCCTGCACATTATGATAGATGACCAATCAGAGACACTTGAGGGCGGGCCTTTCAGAGGAACTAGGCAATATATCAGTGGTTTCCATGTTAGAGTAGCTGAATATAATCAAAGTGAGATTTAATATTAGAACCTAGAGTTCATTGATAAACTTTGATGTTGGCTTGAGAAAGCCAACGTGACTGCGCTAGGACTGGGAATGGCAGTTGGCAGGAAGCACGGCGGCGGTTGCTAAGTGGTTGCTAGGCAGTTGCTAAAACAATTATGGCATTGTTAGGTGGTTGCTAAGCAGTTGCTAAATGGCAATGCTCGTGTACATGTTTGATCAAATGCTATTAGTAGGCATTTCTAGCATATGTTATTGCATTTAGATAATCATTCATAGCATGTAGCTAATTGTTATTAGCACTTGGCTTCCATTATCATTGTTGCCATGCATAGTACACAGGAAGTCCCATTTGCTTGCATGAGTCAAACAAGCCAATGCCCAGGTCCCTACGATGTTCTGATGTAGAGATATTGCCATTTTTAAATGGTTGCTAGGTTATACTGTTTTATTGCTATGGGGACATTTGACAGGTTAGTGATGATACATCAAAGCTTCTTGGCAATATGAGTGATCTTAATCAACCCCGATGATTTCCATGACAGTCTTTATGAGTGTCAAAAACTGGACTTGAACATTATGTATTCCTGGTGATGGGTTGCGGCTGGAAGGGCATTCGCTGTGTAAAACAAATGCTGGATAAGTTAGCGGTTCATTCCGTTGTGGCGACCCCTGATTAATAAAGGGACTAAGGGAATGAACATTATGTAAAAATGGCTTGCCATATTTTTTTGAAAATACAATGCTCAATAAGTGTGAAAGTGATGCATGCAAAAATGGCTTGCCATATCAGTAAAAAATATGGAGTTTAAGTCAAAAATGGCTTGCCACATTTTGAGAAAAATAATGCTTAAAAATTATTTATTGGAAAACTATAAGTCTGATAAACCTTAAAGATATAGCAACAAAATCTAACGCATCTAAATACAGCTTTTGGCCAAATTTGGGGCTTGTATAATTTTTTTTATGCCCGGATTATAAAAATTTAATATTTAACATTTTTTATTAAAAAAACAATAAGTCTTATAGGCATGAGGAGATATAGCAACAATCTTGAATGCAGAAGGCGCATTTTGACCATATTTGGGCCTTGTGGCATGAACGGTCTAGGAGGAGATACGTTTGTTTTCAAGGACAGAGTAGCATAACAGTATGTTGGCTTTCTCAAGCCAACATAAATAACATGATTTCCTTCGTGTGAAGCATGAGCACACATTGCTTTGCATCTTATTAACTCAACCAAGCCTTAAAATTACATTCTGGACCACCCCTTTAAATAAAAAAAGCACACTAAGGCTCCTGCTCCCAACTCACATTCTGCGATGTGACTGAGGCAGATTCACACATTGCGATATTGTTGCCAAAACATTATACAGAGGGGAAATAAGTATTGAGCACGTCATCTTTTTCTCAGAAAACATATTTATAAAGGTGCTGTTGACTTAAAATTTTCCTAAAATGTTGGCAACAACCAAAGAAATCCACATATATAAAGAAATTGAGTCTAATTTGTTTACAAATCAAGATATGTGTAGGAAAATGAAATGACATAGGGGAAAAGTATTAAACACATGAAGAAAGAGAGGTGTATTTGACAGTGAAAGCTCAGACAGCAGCTGAAATCTCTCCGTAGTTCTTCAGCAAGCCTCTGCCCTTCCTCTGTGTAAATCAGCTGCTCCAGTCCAACATCTAAACCCAAGCTCATTCTGGAAACGTAGCTCCGCGGACGTTTCCGCGGAAGATACTT